TGCTGTAATTGGCTTGACGCCCAGATATCGGTGAACTATAGATATCGAAGCCCAATACTACTCATCAAGATGGAAGATTCACAGACCTTGACAGTGGCTACTACTTGGAAATTCGACAAAGATGCGGTAAGTTCGTAGGATCTATACTCACTTTCGCATAGAACCTGAACTGACCTCTCATCTACTGCAGACTGGCCATATTAGAAAGCTCTTTAAGTTCGTCATGATTATCTCAACAATTTCAGCGCCACTCTCTAACAATACTAATTTGGATCGTGTTTTAAGGGCAACCGCCGCAGCTGGTGTTGGGTTCTGCAAATATGAGCCTGTCAATAATGTGAGCAAACACTTTTCCTCCCAGGGCTTTGAAAAATCAGATGTCTCCCTTGGCTCAACGTAATATTCATTCTATCATATAGGTCTTCATTATCCACAATTGTGACATTATTGGATCTACCTCAGAGATGAGCAATCTGGTGGCCAAGTATATTGAGGACGAGAAGGATAACGACCTGATGGAGGTAAGAACATCAAACCACTATGAGTGGTAGTTATATACGTGCAGCTCTTAGTAATTTCCTCTTATCACAAAGATTCCAAAAATTTCCCGCCTAGGGCCGCCAAATGCGCCTTATGCAATCACGTATGAGGACGATATAGTTCCGGAAGCAAAGGGTCAACTAATCGAATTCTCTCAACTTAGCGAGAGAAGCAAGATTCCGATTACCACAAAGTACTGGAAATCCGGACTTGGGGCCACAGGTGGCTTTGAGAAGTTTCGTTACGCCATCGACGAAGTTTCCAGGATTTCTGGAGCAGACATTGTCTTCGAGGAATCGAATGACAGAATCCGTGTTTCCAGTTTTGTGGATAGTAGCATCGTCGAGGACGCTATGAATAGGATTTCTAATTTGCACTCTTGTCTAGTATGGCCCCTATGTTTACGATTTCCAGAATTGGTATACGCTATGTTGCATGTGTTATTGTTGAAACCTACTCGTTGTCAGGTTCTGGTGGCTCTTTCTTGGTTTCTTTGTTTCAGCTTCCTCCTTTGATTGCATTCCACTTTGGTCTACTATGTCCCCTCCCCACTGCGGTACCAATGCTGACAGACGGTAGTCTCTTTCAATTACGCCTCAAATCTCACACATCTTGAATGTGTCCCCGGAGACGAAATACAGTCTAAAGCTCTCCTCCTATAACGAGTTGAATAGAGAGGCAGTTTGTCGCATTCTCGTCGATCCGGAGAGGAAAGATATCGGTCGACTTTCCAAGATGTTTGTCACTGTGATAGTGACAAGAACTTCGAAAAGTCAAGACCTGATGGTCCCTATCAACCTCAGGAAGCCGCCGCGCCCAACGAAGCTCACCAAAGGGCGGTCCAAACTGTGGGCTGATTTCAGATACCAGGGCCTGGGGGACTCGCTAAATGCTCCTCAGTTTGGAGACAGCGTTCCTGAGGGAGGAAGCTCCGTTCAGCAGAGCCAGTCGAAAATCAACATTGAACGGCCAACTGCTCTGGTAGCAGGCGCCCTTGCTGGCAAGCATCGTTTCCTGACCTGGGAAAAGGCATCATTTGTCGGCAACTGGGCCGCGGAAGTTGAGGCCGGAGCAGTCAGGCCAAACGTCCCGGAGCCCAACGGCATGCCTCCTCCAAACCCTGCTACAGAGCCGGCTCTGCCAATTCTGCCTCCGGGAATCAAAAGACGCAAGGCAATCATCATGGGTACAGAAGATGGTATTTCCGAACCCATCGGGCTCTCGAAGCCTTTGTTGTCCACAGAGACCTCAACAATTGAGCACGGCAAAAGCATAACAAAAGAAGATTATGCATCCCAACGGGCCCCTCGGCTGCCTGCGAATTTTAATTCTTCCACTGAGGACAGTTGTCAGAGAAAGAGTCGGAGACCTAAGCCCATTGAACAAGAACTAACACAGCTCATTGATTTAAATGATACTTCGACGTCATCAGGGCCAAATACACATTCAATATCATACCATCAAGTTCCTCTAGTCCCCATAAAGGCGAGGATTGGTTTGACCACGGAAGAAAATCACTCTGAACAACCAAAAGGGAATAGAAATCGCTGCAGACTGGGGCCCGCAGAGGTACCGCTGGCTGGAAACAATCCTAGAATCCGCGAGGCTGAGTATCGTGTTTTCCATCGGACTATGGGCCAGAAGACTGGAAATAATTCTCGGACGGGAAAGGATCGCAAAAACAAAGTGGAAAGCCAGGATAACATCCTTAATACTTCAGTCGTCCCTTCGATGATCTCAAAAGCATCAACCCCCTGTTCTTCTAATCTTTCTAGTAAATCCTTGCAATTAAGCGAATGGAAGAAGGCCCGACAGGCGGACGAAGATGAAAAACGTGCGGTTACCCTCAACGACTTCCTTCAGCACATTAGTCGAGTTCTAAATGGAGTTCGATGCTTCCCAGGAACAATTTCGCTTGAAATTCAGTTCGGCCTAATACTTGCAAGTCGATCGCTTATCGAAGAGTGTAAGGAGGTAATCTTCGATACCAAGACCTGGAATCGCCACTTTCAACCCAAGAATAACCTCCCAACACCTAGTACAATATTCACCAACATGCTAACAACATCTGGCGCTGACGTCGATTTTGTTCTCGACTTACCTGAAAGCCAGGGAGATTTCTCATGCCGAATGTTTTCCGAGGAAGTTGTGAGTCGTCATGTTTGGTACGAATTCCACTGTACAACTAAGAACGATGAGACTTTTGTGGTTAGTATCGATGAATCTGGGACGGCAGTTGTAAACAGACCAGAATATGTGTTGGGAACGGTTAATGTCCACTGCGCAGCGCAAACCTGGGATATGAGGGGCGTGGTGAAGGGAACAGTTGAATACATTCGAGGAGATGAGGAGATAGACCAGGCAATCCAAAATCTCATCGACCAATTGTATATCGAGCCCGACCTGTCCAGAATCGTAATTTTCACTCGAATCCCTGAAGGAGGTCAATTTCATATCATCAAAGTTCTCACGAAGCGTTCTACTCGCCACCGCTTTCATAGACATGAGACAAGGTCCTTACGCATAAGCACTAAGAGGAAAGCTATCATCCACGACCAAACTCCTGCCATTTTTACTGATCAATGCTGCGAATCTTTTGGTAGTTCCAATGGCCAAGAGATGCCTTTAGGGACCCAAGAACCGCTTCTCCAGATCATCGAAGTCCAAAATCTTCTCTTAGCACATTTTGGTGATGATAACACGGTCGTACGTGCGCGAGCAATATCAGCTGATAATATGGTAGATGACCACAGGTTATGGTATGAGATGTCCGTTATTAACCCAACAATCGAAGAGATCTTGCGCTCCAACAAATATCTTGACTTCGGCGACACGAACATTTCCTGGTCCACTTTCAAGCCCCCAGTGAAGAATGAAAAGCGGTCTGCCAGTGATACAAACACTGCCAAAAAGTCAGAGATTCACCCAGCTGTATTGAACCCCCCGGAACTACCCATAGCAGAGATCAGCTCCAAGGACGTGAGCGAATTGTTCCAAGCTGCGAATAGAATTGTTGAAAAGATCGACGGTGTGGGATGGGCCAATTCTGGCCCCGAGGCCCAAGCAGTACTGAAAATAAATCAAGCTCTTTCAGCGTCCGTGGCTGCACGATCAATGGCTACCGCGGAGGTGCCGGACGGTTATTGGTAAAGTTGAAGCTTTCGCTCGCTTGTGCTCAGAAGAAAATTGTGCCTTCTATTATAGATAAATTCAACTCCTTCGCAGATTTTATTCAGTGCATGAGATAAATTTCATGTTCTAATGGGACCTGTGGTAGCCTGGAAGGAGCAGGGATATTTGCATTTATTGCTATCCTTTTTTATGCTATATATATATGGGTGATACATGTTGTCGGCGCATCAGGAGAAGGGCATAAATCATCAATTGACGTTGTAATTCATTCCGTAGCAACCCTGACATGGTTTAGATACTTGATTAACTTCCCTAGGTGGTACTCTGTTGTGTGAAAACTACCATGCCTGAGAATTTTTCATCTGGGTGTTTTGCTTTCAGTTTAATTACTGCATAAATTCGCTATAACTCGGAAGCTGATGGTGCGAGATCTATCCTTCCCCTTCCCCTTTAATGTATTCTGAGCAAATCCCGGGGTAAGGAGAACATTTTACGAGAGTTCATCCAAGGTTACTAGTCCAAAAGTACGTACGATACAGAAGAAGTTAATGGAACGACGTGATGAACTGGCTATATATATAAATCTAACTCTCCAAAGAAAGAAGGCCTCAAGAGATGTTAAATGGAGCATCGAACTTAGAACAACAAATTATAATGGACTAAGCTCCTTAAGGGACGATTCTCCTCATCCAAAAAGAGTCTCTTGATTCATTCTCTTGCTCCGCTCCTGGCTTTCCTGCCTTTCTTCCCATTTCTTAACTAAAACGAAGTGTCTATGACTCCATTAATCTTCCTCGTCGCCCGCTAGATGCTCCACCCCCCTCAGCCATGCCGCTCTCGCATCCACCGCGGCCTTCCGCACGTCCCGTATAGGGTCATCAAGCGCAAACTTCAGGGAGCGCAACACTACGCTCTTCAAAGGAAGCAATGGCGAAGGTTTCGCGCTAGCAGCTTTGGCTCCCGGTGAAGTCGAATCCGAAACGCCAGGTGTCTGCGCGAGGAGCAAGAGACACTGGAGTGATTGTGCACGGATGCGTGGGGAGTTTGGCATTGAGGTGAAGCTAGCTGCGCCGGTGGTTGTTGTTGGCGTTGCTGCTGATGTTGACACTGTGGTGTTATGTGCGGCTGTCTTCAACAACCGTTTCACCAAATCATCCACATAGCCCACTTCGCTAATTACGCTGACGCCGTTATCGCGAATTATTACAGCTAGTGTCTCCAGGGTTCCGGCTTTTATAGGTTGTGAAAGGGGATCGGTCAAGTCTAGGCTCTGCAGGAGGAGAGGAAGTAAAGTTGGTAGTTCTGGCATCACGAGAGATGAGGGGATAGTGGAGAGGATACCAGACAGAGCTGTGAGATAGGCTTGTTTTATATGGGGTGGAGTTCGGGATGCGTCGGTTGCGCCAGTATTAAGTTCTCGCACGTTTTTGGAGATTAGAGGGATCAGAGTGGAAAAGACGCGTTGTTTGGAAAGAAGCCGGATGACAGCACCGTTTCTGGTTGACAGGACATCATCCGGGCTTAGGAGGAGGGAAAACCCTCGGGCAGAGATTGTGCTCGTTTGAGCGTCTGACGACGAGAGGAGAATTAAGAGTGAGTTGAGTATTTCGGGAGTTGAAGGCGCGAGGCGGAGTATCAATGCTTTGGATAACCAAAATATTGTGCGGATTTTGGCTGGAGAGAAAGGTTCGTTTGGCATGGGTGTTAGTGTGGATTTGGGTGTGGTG